AAAGACATTCTAATCTTACTGGTTAACGATCGACTAATAAGCTTCGTTTGATGGTCAGGAAAATAAAAATGAACAAAATGCTGTCATTCTACAATTCTCCACCATATTTACTATGCTGCGCGCAGGTTCAGGTAACTCAAAAACTTGCGTACACGAGCTGAGACCAGACATGAGATTTGATCGTAGCCACCGCTCACATCCATATTGATAAATTCCAAGTTTTGCGTTGAAACGACCGTACGCCCAATTTTCTGTTGTACGTTCGTGTTGTAAATGAGGCCCATTGGCATTGGTCCTCTACAATTTGCAAACCTAACCTTCTTCCTCTTCCTCTGCAGATCTTACAAATTCCTGGAATCCTTTGTCTACTTGTTTCTCCTCCATCTTATTTTCTAAACTCTGAGTATCATCACACTCCAGATGTTCCACTTCTTCTGCATTGTTTCCTGTCTCGCTTGTAGAGTTTGGTTCCACAGCATCCTGTTTGCTTGACTCAAGGTTATCATTGTCCTCCTCTTCCTTGTTCATCTCTTGAACATGGTCACCTTCCTGCTCTGGTGTCTTGCTAGTTGCTACATAAATCCTCACATCATCCAGCTCTTCAAGGAGTGTAATTTCAAAATATCTAAGAAAGTTATTGATGAAGTCCAGATCCGAGGCATAGCGAACCTTGTTTGCCCAGACTAGAGTAGTTCCCGGCTGGCAGAAGTGACGCATAGTGACCAGCAGCTCGGCCAGGAAGTTGTGGTGATAGACCACATCAGTCGCCAACACGTAATCATACTGGTGTGTGGATCTGGAGAAGGTCTCATCCAGCTTGTGACCCCAGTAGAGTTCTGCTACCAGGGGCTCATGTCTCCGTCGGCCTCTCGTGTTCTTGTTGAGGTTGTATCTCAGATTACTTAGAATCTCGGGTAAATCCGTGGCTGTTAGTTTGGCACCTATAGAGCAATTTCAGTGATTATCTTGCAACATCGAAAACCAATTAGAATAAACCTGAATCTTATCACACTTACCCAATAACGTGATGACAACCGAAAGTAAGCCGGTTCCAGCCCCAAGTTCAAGAACTGATTTGTCGAGTAAATCAATGTGTTGGCGACCCTGCGGTGTTTCCAAGAATCGGCAAAGTGCAAGTGCCTATATGAAGGGAATACAAATTATATTTTAAAGGTGCACCATGTTTGTTTTGACTGTTCTTGACTGTTCTCTTGGACTTTATCCTGGCACCTATTTTCTTGAATGCAGCATCACACAGCTCTTTGGTTACTGATGCCATTATAGATATACTATGTTCACTTTTGCATTTGACTCTCATGATTCATTAATTCTGCAGCTTAAAGTGTCTCACCGCTGGCCATATAGTAGCACCGTAAGAATCGATGGACTCCTGAATTGTAATTTCCTGACCCAAAAAATTGTAAACTTCTTTCCCGGGTCTGTAGTAAAAAATTGGTGCCCATGATCTCTTGTACTCCTGTTGTTTATCATTTTCTGTGTTTCCTTCTAAAAGAAAAGACCAAGTCAGTCTCTAATTCATTAGATAAGCAACTGTGTTTTAGAATAAATCACTAACCTGATTTCTGCTCTACAAATGTTGAATCCATCTCACAGCAGCCTTCATTGTCTTCATCTCCACTATCCTCAGGTTCAGTTTCAAGGTTTGTGTTGTCCTCCTCATCTTTGATATTGTTCAAATTTCCATCCTCCAACTTTAATGTTTCCTCCTGGTTTTCCACATCAATATACCCTGTAGCCTGTTCTTCTCTAAATTGTACATCTTTCTTTTCATATTCTCGAACCTCGATCTTTCCTTCGTTCATCTCTTTCTTTGTCTTTTTATTGACTGTTTCATACTCATCCACTCCTTTCCTCGCAACCCCTTTAGTCTCTTCTGACATCACTAGTCTACTTTCTTCTCTCGTGGTGGCGGAGTAAATCTTGACCTCTCCGTTGTCTGCCAGCAGGGTGGTGTTGAACGTTTTTTTGAAGTTCTCCACAAACACCAGATCAGAATCAAAGCGGGCCTTGTTGGCCCATATGAGGGTTGTGCCCGGCTGGCAGAAGAAGCGCATAGTGACCAGTAATTCTGCTAGGTAGTCATGATGATAGACCACATCAGCTGCTAATATGTAGTCGTATCTGTAGACTGAATGAGGGAAGGTCTTATTGAGCTCACAATCCCATGAGAGCTCCGCCACCTGCGGCGTGTATCTGCAGCGGCCCCGTGTGTTTCTGGACAGGTTGCATCTCAGATTCCCGAGGACTTCAGGCAGGTCAGTTGCTGTCACCCAAGCACCTGGAGATGATTATACAGTTATGAAAACACATAACACAACCTTATGCTAATAACATGTTTGTGAATAATCCAAAACTTTAGTACTCACCCAACAGACTGGCCACGATGGACACAAGACCTGTGCCGGCTCCAATTTCTAGCACCGCTTTGTCAACAAGATCAACTGTTGCTTGATTGGACTCAAGGTATCGACACAGAGCCCGAGCCTAAATAATAATTCAGAAAATGCATCATGATTATGAATATCAGTGAGAAAACCAATGTAAAAATGGTTAAAGGTGAACTGTGCCATTAGTTGTTCCTCTGGAGGCATCAAATGTAGTTTTAAAAATAATGACCTGTCTCAGACTGGTTCCTCAAACACTCCTACCATGTGCCCATCCTCGTTTGCCATTGGTCAGTCAGTCAGATAGCTCTGCCCCAAACTCACATGATTGGTTGAGTCAGAAGTTGGCATTTCAAGTAACTCATTTAAACAGATCATTGTTGTGAAAGTGTCACAGAGTCATAGGATATCACTGTTCAGGAAGTCAAACTACCAATGACTGACTTACAGTTTCTCTGAACATGAAACTGACACACCAGAAAGAATTTCAACATCCGAACTAATGACACACTTCAGCTTATATACAGTATTTTGAATATGTAATGAACTAATTGTCTCACTGCTGGCCAGATGACAGAACCAAATGAATCGAGAGACTCCCAGATGCTGATCTCATGGCAGGCAAAATAATGGATCTCCTTTCTGGGCTCCCAGGATGCCTTACGCACACGGACTTCAGCTTCTGCTTAATATAACAAATGGAAAAACTGATGCATTCCTCAATAAAATCTTCACAGATGCAGTGCTTACAGTCAGAGATTAAAGGAATAGTTCACCCAAAAATGAAAATTTGCTGAAAATGTACTCAGGCCATCCAAGATGTAAATGAGTTTGTTTCTTCATCAGATTTTAAGAAACTTGCTCACCAATTGGGGATTATTGTGATGTTTTTATCAGCTGTTTGGACTGTTATTCTGACAGCACCCATTTACTGCATGTAATGTAATGCTAAATGTCTCCAAATCTGCTCCCATGAAGAACAAACTCATCTACATCTAGGATGGCCTGAGGGTGAGGACATTTTAGAACATTTCATTTTTTGGGTGAACTATTCCTTTAAAAGAAGGTGATCTTGAGATTATTTGCCAATACATATTTAAGTTATTTACCATCATGCTTTTCTTTGTCTTCATTTGTATCATCTTTCCCAGTGTTCACACTCCCCTCCGTCTCCACTGTGGCATCTCCATTTCCAGACTGAATGCAATCCATGATGATAATGTCTCAGTTCAAAAATGTCCAAATTTACCCTAAGCTAAGTCTTACTGTATTTCCTCAAATGCATTTTGCAGCTTCAGGAGAATTCAATGCAGTAACTGCATTTCACTGCACCTTCAGCTGGCTAAATCTCCAGAGGAGTCCATGTGTCTGCAGAGGTGAGCTTTACCTTGTTGTTTCTGCAACTGCATCCTCAGCCGTCACCCAGCAAGTTTATAGATGGGCATCGCGCAACACTCCAGTGTCACACTGGTATTGACTATATTTAGCTGGAGATTCATGAAGCAGTGGCACATCCACACAAACACTGAGAAATAGAGCATGATGTAGGAGATGGGGAATGAGCTTCTGCTGACACAAAATGAAGGTAAACTCTAAAGCCTTGAGATAATGGAGATCAACTGATACTATAAGTTGATCTGAGGAAGCTACGCAAGGAATTATGTGAGATACGACTCCATACGACCTATGTTTCTTATTATTCTTAAAGTATTTTACTTCTGGGTGAGTCTTGCAAAACCTGTCAAGAATATGTTTGGATCATACTTTACCCCAAAATGAGAATTCTTAGGGTAAACAAAATGCACACAATTAAGTAAACTGGCCCTCTCCAATAAAATATTGATAAATTAAGTATTTAAATGTAACAATTTATGCATCATATGTTATGCAGTGCTTTTCAAGGTAAATAAAATACACGCGATAAAAAAAATTGGCTTTTTAATGCAAAATGTACATCATTTTGTTGGTTTTGTGGTGCAATGTAATCTAAACATGTGGCATTTAACCTTTAATTTTTAGCCATTAATTCCATCCCTGTTGAGTCTAGGCAGCTGGTATGCCCTAAATTGATTCCACAGAAGGGAAACCCAATATAACACTCATTATATCTCTGGAGGCCACATGAGGTCATTGCTGTTAAACTCTTATCCAACTGCCTCGCACTAAATCCGCTCTGTATCTTCTCCAGTTTCTTGTATGGTTGTCAAAATTCTCTGGAATCAGTGGGCAATTGAACATCTTCACCATGTAGGGCCTGATATTTTGGTGATTTGGCACCATAGACACCAAGCTACATTTACACCATTTGACAGATGCGTGCATGAAGAGAGCATATTGTTATAATGTTAAAATGACTGGCTTTCCTGCTTGAGGATGTTTTTGAAAACTCTCTTCTGCAGGAGTAGATGTATGTGGATTGTATGTGGTGTACATGTGTTTGAATCATATAATAATGACACTGGCAGACTCAAGCACATGCTGCCAGTATCAAATATCTCTGTTACATGGTCCAAATGGGCTGCTGTTCTCAGAAGATCCAGAACATGTTTGTAATCCATTACTGCCACGTGCTGTTAGTCATGAACACATCTGGTTCTTCTTAACTTAGAAACTATGCCAAAAAAAAAAAACAGGTCTACTTTTATCTAGAAGTGGCCAATAATAAAGACCTGTAAACATTGTAAGCAATGTTTCAGAATCAGTTGTTTAGAGAAGGAAACCTGACACAATATTTTCATCTGAATCTTCCATTTCCCAGCAATGAATATGCCCATGTTCAAATTGTAAAAGTACATTTTCTGTATCAAAAAATCATCAAAACTCAAGAGAGTGAATGAAAAGCATGATCACATCAAAATAGTAGTACTGCTCACAACTCTCTAGAACAGAGATATTCAATGCATGATTGACTTACAAAGATCATATTTACATTTACATGGATTACAGAAATGTAAAGTTTCAGAACTAATCATGAATTTTGACTTCTGAATGCTGCACGAAGTTGTAAAGCTAGAGTTCCGACCTTGATTTTCTGCTGGTGAACTGCTGTGATGGTGGTTTGCTTGTGAATTTGGAGTTGATTGTGGGAGATCTGCTACACTTTTGGACCAAAGGTCAGGTTCACCATCCAGAGCATCTCCATGGATCACAATGGTGATGCTTCTTTTATCAGAGATGAGTAGATGAGTTTGTTTCTTCCAAGCCCATCAAGACGTTTTTAACTTCAAACCGCTGCTTCGGGCTAAAATACAAGTCCATAATGCTTACTGGTCTGAATCAGGAGAGAAATCTACACAGATCAAGCACAGTTTACAAGGCAAAACAGTCCAGAACGGTTCTAAACAAGTATGTGGGTGGATTTTGATGTGAGAGACATGTGAGATGGACTTTTTCACTGTAGGAAGTGTTATTATGGAAGCAATGGTTTGAAGATAAAAATATCTTGATTAAATTGATGATGGATTTGTTTCTTACAAACGCACAGCTTTTGGCTTCACAAGACATTAATTGATGGACTGGAGTCATTTCTTGTGGATTATTCTAATGTTGTTATGTTTGGACTCTCATTCTGACGGCACCCATTCACTGCAGAGGATCCATTGACAAGCTAGTGATGTAATGCTTCATTTCTCCAAATCTGATGAAGAAAAACTCATCTACATCTTGGATGGCTTGAGGGTGAGGATTTTCAGCTAATTTTCATTTTTGGGTGAATTTTTTTTTAATCCTTTAATGACATTAACCAGCATTATTAAATGACTGTATGAAATATTGGTGTGATATTAGTTAACATTGTCCAACAGCCATGTGCTCTATATCTTTTTCATTTCATTGCAAGGTAATTACATTTTAAATGATTACGAAGACAAACATTTGATTTCATTTTTATTTATTTCGAATTTTAGAATAAAGTCACTGATGAATCATTCACAATAAGAGCAGGAGCATGAAGACAGTAAATAGAGTCTGTTTTAAATTATTGTTGACGTACATTATGTGAGTAAAATATCAGATATAGTCTACGCCAATGGCCACAGGATTATTTTAAACTATATATAATATAATAATTAATATACTAATATACAATTTAATTTATATTTACTTTAAAAGTATTAATTTTTTTTTATAATTATTCACATGAATTATATACAAATAATTCATATATTATTTATATATAATTAATAATTAATATTAATTGTAATTATTTAACTTAAAAAAAAGAAAAAAAGATAAAGATGTAAACTGAAATCATATTTATTTTTCCCCTCTGTAACTATTGTAGCAGTTCTTAAAACTTCTGGAATCACAAAATGAATTGCGGTTAATTAATGTAGCTATATATTACCCCTCCAAATTTCTGTTAATAATATATTATAAAATAATAGTTCTGTTAATATATTAGGGGCCCTTCAAAATAATTGAGAGCCGCTGGTCTGCGCAGTGTCTCCGCGCCGTTTGCACGCGCGGTACAGCTTTATTCGCAGGCTGGGCAAGTCATAAAGTTCCTCCAGACGAAAGTGTTTCTCAAATGTGTCCACGAAGCTGTTCTCCGGGTCCAGACGGAACCGCATGGCCCACAGGATGACGGTGTCGTCTGAGCTCAAGTGCATGAAGGTCTCCATGAGCTCGTGGAGGTAGGGATGCCCGTACACCACATCTGCGGCGATGATGTAATCGTAGTGACAGGTTGTGCGTGGGAATCTTTCCTCCAGCTGTTTCCCCCAGCTGAGCTCGGTTACGCACGGCTCGTGCCTGCAGCGCCTTCTGGTGTTGCGGTTCACATTGTGTCTCAGGTTACTCAGGACATCCGGCAGGTCTGTTGACGTCACCTTTGCACCTGCAGGTGGAGAACAACACCGTGGTATGGTTTTACTACTATCTCCTATAAAACGAAAGAATATTATGATATTAATTTAATTTGAGCTAAATTTAAATAACTAACAAAATGTAATAAAAAATATTTTTAAACTAATTGGCTGGTCTGTCTCACCCAGGAGGCTGGTTACTATGGTAACAAGACCCGTTCCGGCACCTAGCTCAATGATGTTCTTGTCCATCAGGTTATATTCCTCACGGTGAGTGTCGAGGAAATGACACAACACCATGGCCTACAAACAGACACCGGTTAGTTCTGCTTTTCTTTCTCAGTTTAAATGATCTGAGTGAGTGATACGTACTGAGGGCCACAGAACGGCCCCGTAACAGTCCATCGACTCTGTGATTTTGATCTCCATGTCTGCAAACTCATATCCTTCCCATGCTTCAGTTTTGATCAGCGACGGACGAAAGTGTCGCTTCATAATCGCTGCTGCCAGCTCAGCATCTGCAGTGACATCTGCAAACACAGACAGATCTCTCACATTTACAGCAATGCGTTCAGAGGACACTTTTATCTCAACCTCTTGGATTTAAAAAGACTCTCCATTGTCCAACACAATACGCAAAAAGGCCCACATATATACTGTAAAAAAGGAATTTTCAAAGTTGTAAATAAAACAGATTATTTGAGTATGTTTTACAAGAAAATACTATTTCAGTCTTTCTGCTTCAAAATTCCACATTTAAATCAGTGTTACTTGATCTATTTGCAATTATTTGTAAACATTTACCAGCAATTTCTGAGTGAAAATTGTTTCAAAGTAAATCCTGCACCTTTTGTTTCAATGTAGAATACAATTTCCTTTCTTCTGTATGTTGACTAAAGTTATGAAAAAGCTGCTTGTTTTTAAATGTTCAAACTGAGTGTCAGTATATTAATTAACCATAAGTCTCCATGATTCCATTCCATGATTCTATAAATTTCAAGAACTGTATGTTAAATAAAACCAATAGTTATTAAGGAGGGAAAAAAAACATCTTGATTTTGTTGTTTAATACTTTAAGTTAGATTAATTTCATATGTAATTATTAATATTATTATTATTAATTCTCAATTATTATTGTCTTTATTATTGTAAGAAATAATAAAATAACACAAATCAGGGGTTTAAACCTTTTTAGACATTTCACAGTTGGTTTGGGTTTTGGTGGTTCCTCTTGTCCATGAGTCTGCCCCCAGAGGCCCCTCCTCTCCATGAGTCTGACCCCAGAGGCCCCTCCTGTCCACGAGTTTTCCCCAGAGGTGGCGGCTTCCGCAGCAGAACCTCCAGGTGGCGGCGTCCACTTCTGAACTCTCTGTCTGCCTTGTTACGGCCAAGGAGGCCTTCCATGAA